TCAGCGGCTGTGAACACAGGTGGGTGACCACGATGGGCCTGCTTCATGACCTTGGTGAGATGATCTCGGAGGGTTCTAATCGGTATGTTGTATGTGTTTGAGGCTTGGCGAAGTGACATTGATTTGCTTCGCAGCTGAGCAATTGCTCTCTCCATGTCAGTGGCTTTCCATTTTACCGGAGCCATGTCGGTGCCGTATAGGTTATCGGCTATGTGACCTGCAAAAATGATGCGTGAGTTAGTCCTTGCCAGTGTAAACATTTGAACTGTGTTCGTTTTTTTCTAAAAAATGTGCATTACCTATAAATGATACGAGGTAATGGGTTGGTATAGGTGCGAAATTATATAGGAACGAAATAATTAACAGTTGCGCAAAGCCGTTTTGCCAGCTCCACCGCCGGGAGTGGAGCTCAATGCCGCATTCTACACTGTGCCAATGCCTAACATGTCAATTCATCGTGATATAAGCTGTTCCTTCTAAGGAAGAAGGCTAGATAATCATCAGATGTACTGTGCGCATTTGCAGCACTGAAAGTGTGCGTCATTGCAGAACCAGTTGCCCTAAACACGCACACCTGACATTCAGCCCCCTCCCGTCAGCACTGACGCATTCTGGGTAAAGCATGCACGCCTAAACTGAGTCCCGTTTCATTGCCATCCGGTCAGTGCCCATCGATCTTTCCGGCCTATTCAGGTTTACGCGAGAAGTGCATGCGTCTTAAAACATGCATTATTGCTTCAGGCACTTTTTTGCTGAAGAAAAATTGCACCTCAATCACAATATCCGCCATAACTACTCACCTTTTGAGCCGACAGCACCCCACCGCCGTCCACACGCAGCACAAATGTCGCTGGAAGTGATTGACAGCTGATTTTTTCGTTCCTGGCTTCTGCTGAAGGAACTACATTAAAAAAAGTTCTTGGTGTGCGCTTTTAGGAAGTGTGCGTCATAGGAGCCACTTACCCTAATTAATAATCAATGCAGCAGCTGAACAATATTCATAATTTGCTTCCTCTATAAACTAGTATGACTGGCATACCTTTCCGTTTTGCTGTATTCGTAGAGTTCGACGCACCTTTCAACGATATGCGTCTCGTTGCCAGTAACCCTTTCGTTTGTGATTGCAGCTCTGGCCTGGCGTTACTGTGACTGGTGCTGCCACCTACACAAGCATCACTTGACGGTGCTGCCATCTGTCAAACTACTTTCGGCACCGACTGCAGCTCATATCTTGGACATTTGTCTCCAAGGGCAGTCTTCCCTACTGAGGCTTTTCAACACCGTGGTATTGGTATTGTATTGGAGGTAGGTATTAACGGAATTGCATAAACTTTGGCATCATTAGAGAGATGCAAACTCTTACAGATACCTATTCATTAGCATGATATAGGTAAATCGCATTTGGACCATATAATAGAGCGTATATCTAATCATACAATCATACTGATCATAACATTATATCATATAATTTACTTATATATGTAGAATTGATCAATTTCACGGGTCCCATTCTGATTTAGTATCGGTCCACGGCCATTGAACAGTCGGTGATCTCTCGTATTGCCGCTGTACAGTGATGACCAATCCGGTCCAGTGTTGTGGCCATCGGGTGACGGAGTGCACCGCCCACTTGTGTGTGTGTCTGTGTGTGCCAGCGGAAGGGGAGGAGCCACACGGGGAATAATCAACTTCTCCTTATAAGTTACTAATAAGTCGATGCAAGAAAAGTTGCTGCGTGGCGTAAGAGTTAGCGAAGTTGCATTCCAACCAGGGGGGTTCGCTCCCGTGCCTTCAGCATTACGAAAAATGGCAACAGCCCGTGAGCAGCATCAGCGCTCACGCACATGTTCAAGGAAAACAACGTGTAATTAGCTGCTGACGACGGCCCTCTCCACCAATCAGCGCTCGGTAACTCGAGCGCTGATTGGCTGGTAGCAAACGCGTCATATGTGGGTCTCATTTTTTGCTATCAGTGAACGCGTTATTTAATACACAGTGGCCTATGGAGAATGGCACGCGGAATTGAAGGTCAGTGTTTTATTGCTTCGTACTTGCGAATGGGGGTATTTGAGTGGCATTTGACACCATTTTCGAAATCTACAGTGAATTTCTGATCGACTCATGTATATTTTTTTATGAATCTGACAGTATTAGTGCTACATAGTCGGTGTTTTATGTTGGTGTTGTTTCCCTCGACCTTTGTCTTGGACTTTAATATCTTTTCTCGAAAATGGTTGCCATAACCAGGTCTAAACTGTATTTGTATAAAGGGAATATGTGTTGAATATGAGGGGAAAGTAGTAATGACCATTCTGCCTATCAAACTGCCAGAAGGTGTGCTTGTAAGGTGATTGAAACTGCAGAACGGGTTGCAGATGTGAGTTTGACATTAGCATTGTTGTTTTAACCCCACTTGCTCTAATAAAATGGCAACATGGGGTTATGTACACACTATTGCACAGCCTGGTATCAAGCTGGTTGATATGTGGAGGATAATGAAAGCATAAAATAATAGGAGCGTTGCGTCTTGTGACTTATGTCAAGTCATTTTAAATCAAATGATTGTGATTGTAACTTTTACTTCAATTATTATTGCAAGTTTTGACCTTTTTAATCATCAAATTTTATGTGTACCAAATTCATATGCCTGTGTAATGTCTGTGCGACTTTGTGCAGTGTGCGTGTCTTGAAACAAACCAATTTATTTTGTACCTTTTTGTACTTCAACAAATGTATGTCAAAGGACAAAAATGTCATGTCTATTATCATTGACACTACTATAGCTAACCCTGCCTGTATTCCTATCTTTCAGAGGCATTCAATTCAATCTGCTTTCCAGTGCAGTACCAAGGAGGCTGCAACTGAAACTCGCACAAAGGCAATCAAGTGTCACTTCATCAGCCTACAGTAACAGCCCATCTGTAATCAAAATATGGATGAAGGGGCATAGAAGAACTAGAGCAACCAGTTCAAACATGAAAAGATTGTATTTTGTTTTGGATTATTTCTTAGCATAACAGAACAGTACACTTGCTGCTTTTTATGTTTGCCCTGTGTGCAGTTTTGAATAATTTTAACCATGAGATGCTTTTGTCAACTATTCTCTTTACATGAGCTTCCTTTGTCATGCATGTGTAATTTTGAGTTTACATGCATGATGTAGGCACATTTTCCTTGGCTTCATAGAAGTTAAAACTACTTGCAAGCTTTGGTTATGGACATTGGTGCTATATATGATGCTTCAAATGTGTCCAGTAGTTGATGAAGGGAGAAGAGGAGTAGGACAGCTGATAGCTATTACCAAAAGTATGTGCTTGCCTGCACTTCGGGCTGTTTTACTTCCTTGAGTTAAAAAAGCCTCATCTTTTGTTTCTTTCCTGTGTGCCCATTGTTTCCATGGTGCTATACATAAACGTCAAGTTTGAAGTTGGTATCCAAGTGAGCAAAATGTGTATTATTTCAGTCCGTCTTGAATCATTCGTCTTGAATTATATCCCTAACTGACATCCTGTTATTTGTCCTCCAGGGCTGCGGAGTCGATGGATTTTCGGCGACTCCGACTCCGACTCCGACTCCGGCTTTCAAAAACCAGCTCCGACTCCGACTCCGACTCCGGGCAGAATTGTCGACTCCGACCGACTCCAACTCCCGGCTCCGACTCCGGCTCGAGTTTCTAAAATCGACTCCGACTCCGACTCCGGTCACAACTGTCGACTCCGACCGACTCCGACTCCGACTCCGACTCCGCAGCCTTGTGTCCTGCAATGTCTGTGCCTGTGTCCGCCCTTACCTCCGGCTCCAGCCTCCAACCAGCCCTGCTGAGCTCTGTCGCCGGCGCGGTGTGTCGCAACGTGCTGTTTCTCCACTCCAGCCGACAGCTGCTAGGAATCGTCCTGTGCCATGCGCCATGCGACACAGCAATTGTAAGCTGCAGATCACATTCGGACTGATTGGCTCCGCGTATGTGCATTCGGCCGGGAGCTAGTCGATATCAGGGACGTGGGTCGGACTGTTGTGGCGGCGTGCACTGTGCTGGTTGAAGTTGTATTTCTGTTAGTGAAAAGCATTAATACATAACCGTGGCCGCAGCCCAATGTTATTGTGGATTTCAGAGGGAGTGGCCAGTCAGGAGGGCCCCATGTGGGTATGGATCCAGTGTCCAGTGGGATTGGCTAAGATTTCCGGCGATTGATAAACGCTTCTATGATAGTAAACCTATTGAGTTATGAGGGGAGGTCACGTGACGGACCTGACCTTACTAAACTCTTGTGAAAACACGACACATACGAACGGTAAGAAACCGACAACTCTTCTTTCTGCCAAGTGTCATCTTTCTGTGAAGGATTTCTTGGCACTGAGTGTTCAGAAATTGCGTTGTTTTTGGACTGTGCAGAGGCTCACGAGCGACAACATAGGTCAACAACCTGACCTACCTTAAATATGCGACTTGTACCATAAGATCCAGCTTGATCAAAAGATAGGACATGTCAAATTTCATCTCTTTATCTCAAAAGAATTTTGAGCTATCGTAAAAACCGCCAGTGTGGCACCATATCGCCTCCGCGCGCGGTCGGAAGGTAAAAGTTCGCCGGCTCTAACTAAACAAATAGTCGTCGTATCGCAAATTCATTGACGGCGTTCGAAGCGTCGTTCAATTTACTTTCGAAACATATCCTAACATTACCATTTAACTGCCTAGCGCAATCACCAACAAGCAAAAGTTCCGCGCATCCCTCCTCATACAGTGTTAGCGGCGGCCGGCCGCCGGCCGCTGACCCACATTCGCGTCATCAGGGAATGCCGCAACTAATTTATTGTTTCCAACTTTTTTCCCGGAGCGTTCTACCTGGTTTATATAGCCTTGATTCCAACCCAAAGGTAGCGGGTTCGCGGCCTGGTTGATCCATTTGCTTTTGCCTGTATTTCTAAGTAGCATTTATTCAGTCAGTAACTCGGCTACCAAAGCGAAACCCGCGCGGCGGCGCCGGCGGCGGACTTACCTTGTGTGTCGTCCTCCGCCAGGTAATGCTGCAGCAGCTGCCACCGGTCCGGCCACCGGCCGACGGCCGCGTCGTAGGCCGCGCGTAGCCGGTCACCGGACAGCAGCTGCTGCGTCCGCCGGCGCCAGAGGCCGGCCGTGGCGACCACCGTCGGGCCGTCCATCTCTGGTAGATCGACACGGAGCCTGTGCTGCAGGTCACAGCTGAGGGCCCGCTCCAACACCTCCCGGCACCGCTGGTAGGTGGCCGGTGGTCGGAAGTTCCCCTCCCAGGCCTCCTTCATCTCCCGGTCCGTCTCTCGCCACACGTCCATCGCCCACGGCACGGCCTCACCGAGGGCCCGCAGCAGCAGCTCGGGCCGCAGCAGCAGCTCGGCCCGGCCCCGCGGCGTGTCCGGCTCGGCGGTCAGGCCGGCCGGCCGCTCCCGGCGACACCAGGCGGCCACCGCGGCCGGCTCGCCCAGCAGGTACACCAGGTCGGAGTCGGTGAGGAGCCGGGTGAGCGGCGTCACATCGAGCGTGACGGTGACGTCACCGACCGGTGACGTCATCGGCTCGCCGTCCGCCAGGTCCGCCGGGTCCACCACGCTCCAGGCCATGAGCAGGAGACACTGCTGGCGGTGTGTCCCCGAGCGACTGTAGTGGTACCACTGGAGCAGGCTGGGGGCCGCGCGGGCCAGGTGGGGGATGGCGGCACTCCACCAGCTCTCCCAGCAGGGAGCCGTGGGGCGGAACCTGATACCGGCCAACACTGCCGACCGGAGGAGCGTCCGTCCGAGACGGAGCCGCAGCTGGCGCTCTGAGAGCGGCTCCGTCGGCCGCCCCTCCAGCAGGATGTCCAGGTCTAACCGCTTCTCACAGCAGGCCATCAGGAGGGGTGTCAGGTGCTCCCTCACCAGCCGGAGGGAGCCGATGATGGCCTGCCGCTGGTCCGCGGTCAGCTCCGCCGCCACGATAATGGCCGGGTAGAAGAAGCAGGGCAGCACTCCGTCATCGAGGCGCCGCTCCAGCCAGTCCAGGAGCCGGTGGACGCCGTCCGTGACGCCCGTCCGCGGTCCACCGTGCGGCTCCTGGGCCACCCAGAGCGCCGCCGTCTTCATGAAGTACGACTTTAAGTCGCCGATGGCTACCCCGCTCTCCTTCAGCATGTTTTTGATGGCCTTTAGGGCTGTAACCGCAGCCCGCAGCCCCGGGCAGAGCTGACGGACGGCCAGCAGCTCCGCCCGAGACAGCGAGATGCGGTACTCAATGAACTCCGTCTTACTGCCCGGCCGGCCGGTGGGCACCAGGTGGACCCCGAAACTGGTGTCCCAGGGGGCGCCGTCGGGCCAGACTGGCGCGGGCCACCAGCCGCGCACCAGCAGGCAGAAGACGAGGTCTATGCCGCCGTGTTGTTCACCAGGCCTTTTGACATTGACTGCCGGGCCGGTGGGGGTGATCTCACCAGTCATACCGACCCGGCAGTAGTCCAGCATCAGCCGACGGACGGAGTCGGCCGGCAGCGCCTCCAGCGGCTCCTCGTGGCCGCACCGGTCCGTCCGCACCCAGTGCAGCGTCACGAAGCCGGCGTTGTCGGTCGGCCGGGCCCACAGCTGCGGCGCAGAGCGCGGCTCGATGTCGGCCGGCTCCGCGCCCGGCGGCGCCCAGCGGAAGGGGCCGTCAAACTCCAACATAATGTCGTAGTCTGACGTGCCCCCCTTACCGATGATACCGTCAGACAGCCCCTCAGCCGAGCTCCCCGACCTGTTACAGGTGACCAGCCGGAGCGGCTGGCGGGGCTGGCAGTGACGACACCGGGCGGCGGCGGCGGCGGCCCCGACCTCCGCCAGCGCCGACAGCAGAGGGCGGCTCAGCAGATCAGTGACGGCGTCACCGACCTCCTCGCCGGTGATGTACGCCTGTCGTCCCGGGCCGTGGTTCCACACCAGGTCTGTGGCCACCAGCAGCGTGTCGGCGACCAGATGGGCCGCCGACCCGCACCTCTCCACCAGCTGCTGCACCGCGGGGCTCAGAGTCCCCACCAGCCTCCTCCCCTGCTCCAGCCTGAGGGCAGAGATGGCGTCAAGGATGTTACTCATGACTGTCTATTTGCTGTACAGGTCACTGGTTAATCACTTAGTATCACTGGTCACTGTCACAGACGGACTGGCCGGTGCCGGCCGGCGCCGCTGCTGATATACCGACCGCCGGCGGCGGCCCCGATAAGAGCCGCCGGCCGCCGGCAGCGACAGGCGCGCGGCGCCGACTGGAGCCGGCCGGCGGCCACCTCCGGCTGCCGGCGTCACGGCCAACACAGAGACGAGCCGGGCCGGCTAGGGGCCACACACCAGAGGTGGTACCTGCGCCGATCTATTCATTACAAAATGAATCATTTTTTAGCCTTGTTAGTTGCAAACAAACATAATTGCCTTGTTCAGTGCTGTTTATACACGACGGGGATGGAAACTACCTCCCCCGTCTGGATGAGCACAATAATGGACTCGTCCGTCCATACTGGAACGTCCAATGAGCACCGAGTGCGGTGATGCTGGAACATCGGCGTAAAGATATTTGAATAAACGACTTCTTAGAACCATTTGCTGTCTGTGGGGGGGGGGGAGGGGGAGCTAGAGGGGGGGGCACGCAGCTCATACCTATCCTGAAAACTAACGGTTCAACATCGTTTGCAGAACGGTGATTGGTGATTGCTTGGAAGTGAAGACCCAGCCATCAAACGTAGGTAACATGCAAGCACAATACAACGATTTTAAATGTATTCAGTGTTTAGAAAGTGCCCCTACAGCGCGTTGTCGCGAGTTGTCTCGTGCTGTAAATACATCGGGTCGCCGGCGGCCGGAGGTTGGCATGGAAGCGCCGTTTGTATATACATGTGGATGGCGACTTCAGTGATCATTTTGTGCCAATGGGAGCTGTTTGCAAATAAATAACCACTTGTTGCTTTCACAACGTTCTGCCTATCATGCCTGTGAATCTGCTTCCGAAATGCCGAGAACGACAATCGAACGATGCGTTTGGAGGATTGTCAGCATTGATTTACACGTTACTCTCACTTCTAGAGATCAGCTCAAAATTCAGTTAAACAGGCGACGTTAACCCTCGCCCCGTTATGGGGGACATTTTGCCCCCCCCCTGTGTTTTTTCCTGAATAGCAAGAAAACGGCGGCGCGCAGCGCCGCCAAATTTTCAGTACCTTCCCGGGCATCAATTTGACACCTTCACACCGAATTTCAAGTCTTAGGTCACCTTAGGTCAGGAGTTATTGAGGTCAAACTGAGGTCATGTTCGAGCAAAAATGAGTAAAAAACATGCAATCTTGAAACGCTTACCAAATTTACAGTTGCCAAGCAATTTCAAAGTTCTTTATATGGTCTAGTAGACAAAAAGCGGCGCTACAAAACTGCAATCTCGGATTTTCAAAATTTTGGGTTGTTGACCCCCAAAAATTAAAAAAAAAATGATTTTTTAAGAAAAACTCAAAATCCAAACAAAATCCACATTTCGCAAAACCGGAATATATATGATAGTACCTGTGCTCTTCTATATACATACCAAATTTCAGATCGATATCTTGTTTTTTTGGCCAAGTTATAGCGAAAAAAATGTTCAAAAATGATGACGTCAAATTTTTGAACTCAATTTTTAGCGATTTTAGACCACGTGGGCAAAAATAAAGACCAACATTGAACTCCCCGTGACGAGCTGCATCGAATCGATACCATTTTATGCAAAAATACCAACTTTGAAATTAGACCTAATTTGACCTGACCTTGACCTGATCTTGACCTGAGCTTGACCCAGGGCCTCGGCTAAGGAATTTTGACTACTGGGGCAAATCGTTAGCGTGTGTTGGCGCCCTGCTGGGGGGGGGGGGGGTTGAACACCTGCGGTTTTCCTGTGTTTTTTTTCGCGGATATCTCAATAACGGCGCCGCTCCATCATCCAACAATTCTACACGTGTTGTAAAACTTTCAGACCAAGGTCATTCAAGATCAGGTCACCAGGTCACCTTCAAGTGATCTCACTTCATAAAATGTTTCAATGTAGGTATGCCGTAGCTACACCGAGTGACCGATCGCTTTGAAACTTTCAGCGATTGATAAGGGCAACAGCATGTACAAAATTTATATCTCGGAATTTTCATATCGGTGACCTAAGTTCAGCTCAATTTTGCGACCTCTATCATAAGTCAATGGAAGAAAATTCAAGACCACCTCTTTTGGACGAAAGTCATTCTAAAGACTATAAAACACCGTAGGTACGTGACTTTGACACACTGAACATGAAAATAGCACCCGTGACCCTTACTTATGCCCCTGAGGTAATCTCAGTTCACGAATGGTATCTAACAGTTTTTCGCGAATAACTTTTGAAAGATGCATGCTTGAGCGATGAAAATACCTTAGTTGTGTTTGGCTCGACGATCAGATCGACTGATATGCAACATGACAATTTCCGGTCAGATCATGACCTTGACCTGAGGTCGAATTTTTAGTTGACCTTCAAGGTCAAATTGTAGCTAATTTGATGCATCTTGACGAGAGGAACACGATGTCGGTAAAAGAAAGCTCGTGCAAGGCACGAGTCAAAAGTTATTGCAGAAAAACTGTTCCCCCCAAAATCGTATATTTTGGTAGTTTTTGCCCCTTGCAGGCAAAACCGTTGACGTTAGGTCAAATCTAAGAGAAATAACCAGAAAGCATGCTAATATGGCTATCAAATGCAATTTTCCGCGGTGCTGTAGCTGTACCTAATTGATTCCCGGGTTATGCGTCGGCATCTTGTAAACTGTCGATATTCGACCTGAAAATAGGCGAACTTTTGCCTTCACCATGACCTGACCTTTGACCTGACCAAAAAAGCGGCCGAGGTAATTTCGTCATTATTTTTGACGCTCTTTCGAACGTAGATGGATTAGGGGGTGCAAAAAGATATGTTTGCCAATGCACACCTATGTTTTTTGATTGAAATTGAGGGTGCAGCTGCACACCGTGCACTCCCTCTTCCGCCGCCCCTGATTTCTTGCCACAAACGTCTTCAACCGCTTCCGAATGAAAGAATGTACGTACGTTAATGTTGATATATTCTCATTTTGTGGAGGTTGGGCAAGGCCTGACCACTACTGGGGCATTCCTCGACTCTACTGGGGCATTTGCCCCAGTAGTTAACATGTTAGCCGAGGCCCTGCCTTGACCAAAACGTGACCTAAGCTGGCCCAAAAGTCTGCCTGACCCACGTAGTCGCATTTGTCATGTAAAATGGACCATAAAACATGTATCACACGACACTTTCATATTGTGACCCCCAGTGACCTGACCTCTGTGACCTGACCTGGTATCAGTGACCATAGGCGGCGGAACGATTTGAGACAAGGGGGGGGGCACCATGGCTCAAGGAGCCAAACCTAGGGTACCCCCAAATCCTGTTTTCTCATCGGATTTAGGCCACTTATTTTTCGTCACAGCCCTGACACGATGATTTTTTTTTTTTTTACTAAACGAAAATGGCAGTTCACCCCCGTACGCAGGGGTGTAATTTTATATCTCTTTGTGGGGGCATATGCACCCACAATCCTGAATTATGCCCCCACAATGATGAAAATGCACCCACAAGTCTTTTACAAGGCTGCAAGCGTCCTTTCGAGATCACGGTGCCCTTCGCATGCTCTAACGGCGTCCTCCTGACCGTCTCGCGTTCATGGATAATATAGCGTTTTTAATCACTCGGCGCCCTTCTGGGAGAATGGCGCACTTTTGACAGCACCGCGCCATTCTCATGGTCTAACGGCGCACTCCTGACCGTCTCGCGTCCTTATGTCTCTGTCCACCGTGCATCCCTCGACTGTTCGGCGCCCTTCTGGCCTCTCAGCGCCCCTGAACCACATATAGCGTTTTCAATCACTCGGCACCCTTTTACGAGAATGGCGCCCTTTTCATGATCTCAAGGCGCCCTCGTAACCATCTGGCGCCCCCACGTCCCCACCAACGTAACACTACTGACTGTGCGGCGCCCTTCTGGCCTCTTAGCGCCCCTGGACCACATAGCGTTTTCAATCACTCGGCTCCCTCCTAAGAGAATGGCACCCTTCTCATCGTCTCACGGCGCCCTCGTAAGTCGTAACCGTCTGGCGCCTCCACATTTGGTGCCCCTCCTGCTGAATGGCGCCTCTCTACATATTTTTACGTCCTACCGGTCAGTTTCCACTTTTAAGCGTGTATTTGCTTAGTCAGACACGGCACTTGAAGCACCATTCGGCTAGCAATGTTATCAAATTCGGTGTTAATTTAGGCTCCCACATAAAGAATATCCATCGCGCCCCAAAACGGCCTGGCGCCGGGCGCCCCTACAGCTGGGCACCCACAATCATTTTAGGAAAATTTTACCCCTGCCCGTATGTGTGGTTAACTTTAACCCTCGCACCGACGGGGGGGGAGGGGCGGATATCCGCCCCCCCCCCTGAGGTTTTTCGCGAATAGCGGGAAAACCGCGGCGCATAGCGCCGCGAAATTTTGTATGACTATAACCTCATCAATTTTACACATGGTGTGCAAGTTTGAACCTCCTACCTTTTAAGGTCAGGTCACCAGGTCACTGAATGACCCAACCTCAAGTCACTTTTTTGCAACTTTGTCACCGTGCCAGAGCTACAGTAGATGTTGGAGGCCTTTGAAAGTCGCAGGATATTATTAGGTCATTAGTAGCTACAATTCGTTTACCTCGGAATTTTGATATCGGTGACCTAAGGTCAGGTCAATTTCGCGACCTCCCCATTATAAGTCAATGGGGGAAAAATCAACTCCCTGTTTTTACCACTAAAACGGGTCGGAATGGCCCCATATACCATACATGACTTCATATACGATCAACCTTCACTACCTTGAGGTCTGTTTTGCTGTTGGGCAGCTGTGAGGTCATGTGACGTCATCAAAGGTCACCAAAGGTTTTTGGCCAATAACTCCGTACAGGAAAAAGATACAGACGCGTGGATGGTCTCATTGTATTCAGCTCGTCAAGACGCATCGAATGATATACATGATGACCTCGAGGTCACGTGACCTGAGGTCAACCTTTGACCTTGACC